GCATTCGGCCAGTGCACGATGCTCGCGGCAGCGGCACCTCTCCAGAATGGCCATTGTCGGCCAGCCAGCCAAATGGAGGTGGTCTTAGCGGCGGTGATGGTCTTTCCTCCTTCATCTTTCCCCTTCATCTCTTCTCTGGCTTCACTGGTGAAGCGTACTAATTGATTGCCATTAGCAGTACTCAAGTGTTATTTGGGAGTGCAGCAGCAGCAGAGAGATACATCTTCAAGATACTTCTCCAATNGATTGCCATTAGCAGTACTCAAGTGTTATTTGGGAGTGCAGCAGCAGCAGCAGCAGAGAGATACATCTTCAAGATACTTCTCCAACTTCTGCACTCGCTTCCCTTGTGTGCTCGCTTGGTGGCCATCAGCAGTAGTCACCCAGTCCCCTTTGATTGTCACTCTGCTGTTAGCAGACGGTGCGCTTATGTGCTCGTTGTGATCATCTCGGTGCCGCTGCTTCCTTCACTGCCTGCCTTCCAATGGCGCCTGGTTATCTCCCTAATGTTGCTTGCTGTGATTAGCGGCTCGGCCGTCGTCGTCGTCGTCGTGAATGCCACCGGATTGCACTCTTATTTGCCGAAGCTCACTCTCTCGCTCACTCACTTTTGACAGCTGCTGTACACACGAGGGGGACGCATTACAATCAGTGTGTTTGTACACACAACCAACCAGGCGGGCTACACTGGAAATAAACAACAACAACAACAGCAACAATGGCTGTTTATTGCAGTGACTTGCTGCTGGTGGAATCTCCTGTCCGCCACCACCCTCCTGTCACCGCCGGCACTGGAGAATCGATCTCTGGTGCAGATCTAATTTATGAGCTCTATTACCTATTTCAGTACTTTTAGTGCTGCGGAAGTTAGGTTCATCGAGACGGGCTGCATGGCGGCAGGTTCACTACTACAACGACTGTTGCTTATTATCTTATCTCACACGTCGAAACTTTGTCGGGGATCAGTGATATTGCTGCGAGCGTGTGAGATCTAAGTATGTTTGTTGTGTGCCAGCAGCAGCAGTGATCACTATCACTACTCGATGGTACCTCAATTTGCCTGTGCATACATGTGTGCCAAAAACAATCCCTTCTTCTTTATTAGATGCTCCCCCAGCCAATTGACAATTAGTGCTAGTGATTGAACATTGAGAGCGCAGTAGCGCAAACGGTTTTTTTATTGACATTGTCCTGAGTAGTGCTCTTTGAGGAGTGTGTCTGTGTGTTGCACTGCTTTTTATGGCAGCTATTTAGCGCCCGAAATTCCCATCCTATTATTAGGCGAAATGATTTGATTGAGAAAGTGTGGCCGCCGCCGCTCAAGTCCAGCACTCGAGGCAAAAGGCGGGAGTGTGTGTGAGAGAGAGTGCCTGTTCCTGCGTAACTTTCCTCCAGTAATCACCGGTTAACTCAATCGACGATCGTCTCCGCATCTTCATCTTCTGCCACTTATTCAGTAGTCTTCTACTGCTCTATTACGTACTGCTAACCTTACCTTACATCACACTTTTCACTGCTCATCAGGCCTCTTTGGGCTATTAACGGTGTAGTGTGTGTGTCTGTGTGTGGTAGTACTCCTGGTGACACTTCCTCGTTTGTATGCGCGGCACTGGTCGTCCGTCCGTCCTTTCTCAAGTGTATCCAGTTTTAGTGGCAGTATCTTCTTCTTCTTCTTATGCCGCTGTCGATGTTTAGCTTAACTCAGCAAGTGAAAGCTCAACCGCAGCAGTGTGTTTGTGTGTCAGTGAGATCTCTCAGTGGTGTACCTTTCCTTTTCTCTTTTGTCGCCGAGCAATGTCTCGTAGCACCGTTGTCCACCGTTAGAACACTACTCGCAGCAGCAGCTTCATCAGCCATTCTTCTCAGCCATTAAGAAGAAGGCTTTCATTCAGCCTCAGCTTTCCCCAACTCTTTTGTCTCCCAGTGATCACACACACACAGTCATGTCCTTGTTGATGCACTTGATAGAGGACGGCATCCACATCACCCTCATCGTCTTGACCTTCCTCTGTACGATTGTGCAGACGGCGCTGGACTGGTCGATTGACCATGTTCAGAAGGCCATGCTTCGACTGCGCTCCCTCCAGGTCAGTCTTGTCTTTCTTATTGTCATTGCTGTAGTTGCTGATTTGAGGTTGCCGATTGGAACGTAGTCAGAGTTAGTTGATAAAGGTTAGTCTAAAACCACACTGCCGTTACTCTTTTTTCGATTTGGTGCCATTTATGTACACAGATCTTCGTCATCGTTTGTCCCACTAGAAGAGTGTAAATCCTGCAACTATGTTATTTGCGCTTTTGCACACTTGTTGCTGTCAATTGTGGTTGTGACTTTGGCTGCATGTCTCACTCCTCGATTTGTGTATTGAATAGCGCAGTCTCTGCGGAGGACGTGTGCAGCAGCCTGAGTTGAGCCGTGTTGTGTATTAGAGTTGTGTCTGCGTAACGGTGCGTAAGCACGTTTGTCGTCGACTATGCTTCTGCCAGGATGACTGGTGACTAGGCCAAACACTACAAGATTGGCCTGGGAGACTGATTGCTTGGTCAGCACCGTAGTTCTGCATCGGTCAGCCACTGAGCTGCAGTCGCCCACCTGAGCCGGTATTTCAGAGAAAGTGTTGGCGGGGCAGTAATCCGCACACTCTTTGGCTCCTTTTCTCTCTTTACTACTTGCCAACATTGTTAGCATGCGTCAGTGGCAGTAAGCTGCAGTTAGTTGGCGATGAGTTACATTGACCAAAAATGGACTATCTAAGTCACGGCCGTGTTTGTCAGTCGTCTGCCTGCCTGAACTGTACGTGCGACTAGCCGGGGGAAAATGTTTTTTTTATGAACTTGTTTGCATATGGCATCTCCACACACTTGTTGTTGTGTCAGTGCGTCGTCGTCGCCACCATTTCTCTCTTCTCGTTCTTGCTCAGTCAAATGACAACGGGCGCGTTCTGACTGGGTCGTGCTGTAGTAGGAAGAGCTGCAGTGGTTGATGAAAAAAGAACGATGAAAGTCCGAGTACAGTTGATTGCTGTGTAGTGCTGTGAGCCACCGCTATTGCAAGCCGATTGGCAGAGATGAATTGTGCACGGCACGGCTCACTAAATAAAGGCAATTGCCCGGGACAGAGAGAACGGAGAGAGAGAGAGAGAGAGACACTCTCTGGAACACATACACACACTCATACAAACTCATGTACAGCGGAGATTCAGTGAAAGAGAAAGCGCCATATTAGTGTGACCATCGAGTATCTGTTGCGTTTGTGAGTGACACTCTGGCCTCGGCAGAGGCATTCAGCCACCATTCATCGTCGCCGTCGACGCCGTCGACGCCACTTTGCTACATCGATCGGTGCCGCCGAGCCACCATCACAATCATTATCAACATCACCTTCCACCGGTCCACTCATCACTTGCACTTTGATTGAAGTCGCCTGAAATCAGCACTCACACGCGCGGACGACATCGGACTTGACTGTGACTTGCCCGATCACCACCGCCACCTCAGCGGCAATCTGTAGTGACACCTCAGCAATCGGAGAAGAAATCAGCAGCAGCACCAGCAACGTCGTCGTCGATCGAGGTTCCCTCTTTCTATTTCTCGTCTTGGTACAAAGTGGAGCACACACAGGCGGCGGCACTCAAGTTGGCTGCGACTAGCTCTGTCGCCATGACACTGTCACACTAAGTGGCATCATTTGTTTAATTGGTTGACAAGTAAATTACCGCCGTTAGCTGGCACCGTGCTCGGTGCTGCTGTTCGTCGTCGTCGATGCAACTCTGCCATCATCGATGTTGTTGTTGTCGTCGCTGCCACCGCCTTTGACTGCTGTCACATACAGCACCAGCAGCTCTTCCTCTTTGCTGTTATCGGCGCTCCTGTGCTGCTGCCGCTGATCTGGAGTGTCTCTGTCGTCTACCGCCACCAGCAGCACCGATTTATTCGGGTGTCGATTGCTATTTATAAAGTGGTGGCCACTGCACGCTCCCTGTGTATTCCTTCTCTTCCTTCCTTTCATCGTGTCCTCCAGACCTGGCCTCTGTTCCGTACACACCACTCTCTCTCCCTCTCATCTTTGGTCCGCCTCTCAGCACGCGCCAGCAGTGAGAAAGCTCATACTGCACTGCTGCCACAGCAGCAGCACCACCAGCTGACCATCAGCAACAGATTATCAGCGACGCTCATCTCACTTGCACTTCATCTCCGCTGTCTCATATATTCACCAGCTTTCGGTTGCATCGTCTCTCTCGCTGTCACTTTCACTCACTCTCACTCTCTCTTCCATTCATCGCACACTCCCTCGCCCTGTCTCCTCTCCTCTTCTCTGTCGCTGGTGCCGATCTGTTGATGCCCTCCTCGCCCTCCTTCTTCTCTCCCACCACATCTTCTTCAGCACTTCTTCGCAGAATTTACCGCCTGGTCGTCTATGTTGCACTATCTTCCTCAAAATCTAAATGCGTTCCTGTCGGCGTTGAGTGAACAGCTTTGCTGTGCTGTGCAGACTGCTGCCAAGAAGTTGTCCTGCCCAAGTTGACTTGTTGCCTCGCGGCCGGTGCCAAGAAGAAGAAGAAGCATCAAGAGAAGTGCTATTTTTTCCGTTCCAAAGCTCTGCTCTGCATTCTGTGTGTGTGCGATTCTTGTCGTCTCTGTCGCCGACGTCACACCACCACCTCTCTCTCAACTCGGTTGTTCACCCTTTCGGGCAAATAGACTCTTGCCACTGAGAGTTCACTCTCGTTGCAAGACTTGGCTTGACGGTGGCTCCTCATACGTCCGCATCCTCTCTCTCCCTCTCATAAGCACATCTTTATACCGTTTTAACCAGTGTTCATCTTCTCTCCGCCACCATCCTCTTTTCACCGACACACCGTTATCCGTTTTCTTCTACTCTGACTACTAGTTCCAATTGGCCCTCAGTGTTGTTGTTTTATTTTACTGTTCTTTGCTGACCAGTTAGTTAAGCAGTTTATTTTCTGTTTCAGCTTTACTTAATTTTTCGCATTTTTGAACAGATCATGGAAGGATCGTCTGCCAACGGTCATGCTAAGGGCGCCCTTGGCAAGAGTGTAAGTGATGAAGGGCCCGATTACTCGAATGGCTCTGGCACTGGCTTGCCACCACCTCCTTCCGCCACTTTCACTACTACTTCCACTAATTCTCCAACTAACCAAGAACGAGCTGCTGTTGTTGGCGAACAGCCTCTGCAGAACTCTGATTCGCTTTCGAATGGCCCCGCAGTTCATTCCAATGACGAGTCGCTTGAAGCTTCTGCGCTGATGTCGCAGTCTGAATACCTTTCGGTTTATTCTACGTATTTGGATGAAAGCAGCACCCAATACTTCCCATATTCCGATAATTCTTGTAGTGCTGGTGGTAGTGAGTTGTCGTCACTACTACAAACTAGTCCCTCTCGGATGGATGTCAGTGACGACGCTAAGGCCGTACCTTTCCCGAGAAATGCCTCTGGTGATCTGCCGCTCATACAAGATCATGCTGAGCTCTTTGTTCAGCAGATTCTCGATGAAAGTGTTCTCAAGGCAACTCAGATGCCGTCCAGTTCTCCGCCGCTACCATCCGGCGCTTGCATGACCTTTTCTTCTTCTACTCCTGCTCCTAAATCTACTACTACTTCTAATACTTCACCTTCCGACGATGCCTTGCTCTTTGAGTCTTCCTTCTCAAGTCCTCAGTCTATGCTTGCGGCTGACGACGATGAGAAGGAGAATTCTAACCCAAGTACTGTTCTGCTGTTTGCTACCGCTAACCAAAGCATCTCTGACAGTGAGTCTGGTTCGCAGTCTGACTCTGACTCGAGTCTCTCAGTGAGTACCACCACTGTCTACTCTGTTGTGTTCTATGCCTGCTGCTGCT